GAGACTTTTGATAGAAAAAGCAAGTAAGAGGTGCTGTGATAAGAAGTTTATAAAATTATTCTTAGCCTGGGGTGAAGCAGACAGAGAACAGTTATTATCCTGCTCTCAAAATGCTAGAACTTGTGAACATCCCACAGAGACTGAATGTTGTTAACCTGTGGAACTCACCCCCACAGGATAGCCACTAACTGGGATGGCTTGAAAAGAGGATTTGACAAATTTATGACACACAATGGCTATGCTCTGCTTCCACATGGAAGGCAGTGATGCTTCTGAACCCCAGTTGCTGGAAACCCCAGGAAGAAAGTTGTCTCTTGTACTTAAATCCTGCTTGAGGGTTGATGGTCACTGAGAACAGGATGTTGGACTAGGTGATCCAAGAGGCTCCTCATATTCAAAACTTGCTTTGAAAGAAAAGGAAAATAGAAATACAGTGGTACCTCGCAAGACGAATGCCTCGCAAGACGAAAAACGCGCAAGACGAAAGAGTTTTCCGTTTTTTGAGTCGTTCCGCAAGACAAATTTCCCTATGGGCTTGCTTCACAAGACGAAACATCTTGCAAGTTCTTGCGAGTTTGTTTCCTTTTTCTTAAAGCCGCTAAGCCGTTAATAGCCGCTAAGCTGCTAAGCCGCTAATAGCCGTGCTTCGCAAGACGAAAAAACCGCAAGACGAAGAGACTCACGGAACGGATTAATTTCGTCTGCACCACTGTAGAATGCAGCCCTGTAGCACAATCCTGAACATGTGTACTTGGGAATGTGTCCTGCTGCATTCAGAAACGGGCTTAGACAAAAATGCTCTCAACGACTGGAGCCATTACTGTCCTCGTTCTTAAATCCTTGCCTAAATGGGAAGGCTGTGCCCGGCTTCCAGAAAAAGGCTTAAACTCTTAAACAGGAATAATAATAATAATAATAATAATAATAATAATAATAATAATTTATTTTAACACCACCCATCTGGCTGGGTCTCCCCAGCCACTCTGTGCAGCTTCCAACAAAGATTAAAAATACATTAAAATGTCACACATTAAAAGCTTCCCTAAACAAGGCTGCCTTCAGATGTCTTCTAAATGTCAGGTAGATGTTTTTCTCTTTGACATTTGGTGGGAGGGCGTTCCGCAGGGTGGGCGCCACTACCAGGAAGGCCCTCTGCCTGGTTCCCTGTAGCTTTGCTTCTCGCAGTGAGGGAACCGCCAGAAGGCCCTCGGCGCTGGACCTCAGTGTCCAGGCAGAACGATGGGGGTGGAGACGCTCCTTCAGGGATACTGGGCTGAGGCCACCAACTTTGATGTCTTTCAAACGGAATCAGAAAAAGTCATGAAGGTGAGGTACCTTCGTCAGTGCTTCTTGTTGACAAATGAACACTTGGTTGTTGTTGTTGTTGTTGTTGTTGTTGTTTAGTCGTGTCCGCCTCTTTGTGACCCCATGGACCAGAGCACGCCAGGCACTCCTGTCTTCCACTGCCTCCCGCAGTTTGGTCAAACTCATGCTGGTAGCTTTGAGAACACTGTCCCACCATCTCGTCCTCTGTCATCCCCTTCTCCTTGTGCCCTCCATCTTTCCCAACATCAGGGTCTTTTCAGGGAGTCTTCTTCTCATGAGGTGGCCAAAGTCTTGGAGCATCAGCTTCAGGATCTGTCCTTCCAGTGAGCACTCAGGGCTGATTTCCTTCAGAATGGAGAGGTTTGATCTTCTTGCAGTCCATGGGACTCTCAAGAGTCTCCTCCAGCATCAGAATTCAAAAGCATCCATTCTTCGGCGATCAGCCTTCTTTATGGTCCAGCTCTCACTTCCATACATCACTACTGGGAAAACCAGAGCTTTAACTATACGGACCTTTGTCAGCACGGTGATGTCTCTGCTTTTTGAGATGCTGTCTAGGTTTGTCATCGCTTTTCTCCCAAGAAGCAGGCATCCTTTAATTTCGTGACTGCTGTCTGAACATGGATAGTGTTCTCCTCCATGATCTTCAACTTATATATTCCATTCATGAATTACTTCCCATAGAATGCCTTAAAGTGATTTAACAAGGAAAACCATTGCAGCCATTCCAAAAAGCAACATTATTTTAATTATAACAACAATTTCATATTTGAGGCAGGCATTAAAAAGACACAATCGTTTTCAACCACAAAAACATGGCAGAAATGTGTTCAGCATCTGGACTTCAGAAGCAGGCTCCGTTATATCCCCGCAGTCATTGCGGTGCTTTGATTTACATGGGTTTAAAATGCAAAACTGCACACATAGAAGGTTTGGGGACCACCGATCTGTTTCATATTCCAGTGCACAAGCAGCCTGCTGGTGATGTGTCTTTATCACAGACCAGAGTGCTTGAAAAGTACTCTTAAGTACAATGAATTGGATCACTTTTGAATAAATAAATATTGAAAATCCCAGGAAATGAAAAAGTGAATATTCTCAAAATTTGAGATGGACATCTAGGATGCCTTTCACAACTTGGCGCCCTGCAGTTGTTTGTCATAGAATTGTAGAGTTGGAAGGGACGTCAACGGTCATCTAGTCCAACCCCCTTCAAGTCTAGAATCACAGCTCAAGAATCCATGGCAGATGGCCATCCAACCTCTGCTTAAAAACCTCCAAGGAAGGAGAGTCCACCACTGCTTGCGGGAGACTGTTCCACTGCTGAAGAACCTCTTACCTTCAGAAAGTACTTCCTGATGTTTAGTCAGAATCTCCTTTCTTGAAACTTGAAGCCATGGGTTCGAGTCCTACCCTCCAGAACCGCAGAAAACAAGCTTGCTCTACTTTCCATGTTTGAGATATTTGAAGAAGGCTCTCCTATCTCCTCTCAGTCTCCTTTTTTTTCCAGGCTAAACATCCCCAGCTCCTTCAACCGTTCCTCATCAGGCTTGGCTTCCACACAATTGGTCATCTTGGTCTCCTTCCTCTGCACACCTTCCAGCTTGTCAACATCCTTCTTAAATTGTGGTGCCCAGAAAACATGTGGTGAATTCAAAACATCTGGAGGGCACCAGGTTGGGGAAGCCTGATCTAGGCAAGGAGGCCACCGCCGCTGCCAAGGCTCCCCACTCCGTTGCCCGTCCAGCATCTCCCTCCTCTAGCCTGGGAAACTCTCTGTGGCCAAGGTGGCTCAATTCCCTTGTTAGAAGGAAAGTTTATCTTGGCTTCTTGGTGTTACCCGTCTCCGTTTGCCTTGGCACGGGGGGCCAGCAGTCGGCGGGGCTCTTTCGTTTCCAGAAAGTTTTATCTCCTTCTCCATCCCCCGAAGACAGATTAGATGGGGAATGGACAGAATGGGGCTCTTTCTAACTTGCTCGGAGGCGCAAGCCAAGGGCGATTTACCGAAAAAGTTCATCTTTCCAAGCGATGGCTGTTTTTGATCACTGCTAACGGCGCAAAAACGCTTATCTGGTTCACACTCACAGGATGTGAGCTAACGCACTAATACTCTCATTTCGAAAGCAGGGGAACCGAAAATGAGAAGACAACAAATCCCCTCTCCACAAAACAAAACAAAGAGGAGCTTATGCCTGATGGTTAAGTGAGAAAGCTATGAGCACACCAGCCTTTTCCACCCAGGAGACATCTGCGCTGGGGGTTGGCAACCTTTTTTTGGCCATGCTCCACCTAAACATCTCTAAAATCCTGATCCCACCCCCACCCCCGTGACATATACCGTATTTTTGCATCTATAAGACGCCCTCATGTATAAGACGCCCCCTATTTTGGGGGAGTCAGATTTAAGAAAATGGGGAAAAGATGTGCAGTGGTACCTCTGGATGCGAATGGGATCCATTCTGGAGCCCCGTTCGCATCCAGAGCAGAACGCAACCCGTGTCTGCGCGTGCACGGGTCACGATTCGCCGCTTCTGCACATGCACGTGACGTCATTTTGAGTGCGCATGCACAAGGGGCGAAACCCAGAGGTAACCCGTTCTGTTACTTCCGGGTCGCCGTGGAGCGTAACCTGAAAATGCTCAACCTGAAGCGACTTTAACCCAAGGCATGGCTGTATAAGACGCCCCCTAATTTTTGACATTATTTTTTAGGGGGGAAACCTAGTCTTATACACGGGAAAATATGGTAATTCTTATTATTTGTGGTAGTTTTATGTAGTTTTTCAATTTCATTGTTCTGCATGGGACAATGACAATAAAGATATATCATATATCGTATTCAGAAAGTGAACTTCTGTTCACGTGGAGGAAGCCAAAAGGGCATTAACGTGATCTAAACAAGCTTCCAAATTGCCACCCCCCTAAAAATCAAATTGCCCCCCTGTCAGGCACATTGGGAACCATGGGACAAGATGAACATTCAGGGAAACTGAATGTTGGCAAGTTCAGGACAGAGAACAGAACATCCTTCAAACAGCACAAGAGTTAAACTATGGAACTCCTGGCCACAGGACGCAGTGATGTTCACCAACTTTCATGGCTTTAAAAGAGGATGAGATGAATTCATGGGGCAAAAGGCTCTCAGTTGCTGCTACACACCCAGGAGGCTAAGAGGTCTATAATTGTGAGGGTCTGAGGGGTCACTTTTCTTGAAGATTGGCACAACTCTAGTGGCAAACCACCTTAGAGAGATGTCTCTAGTTATATTTATGTATGTGAACCGTTTTGCCAAAATGGGAGACTCCCCAATTTATGTCCAGGGGGAAAATATTGGGGGGAATCATGTCTTCCCCTGGTGCTTTTCCAGGACGCGTTAATGAAATCAGTTCTCCAATCTCTGTGGTGGATACAGGCGGCCAGCTAGGGAGATGTGAAGAGTTCTTTATCATAGAGGGATTTAATATTTGTATCCCGCTTTCTCAACAATAAACGTTGAGCTCGAAACAGCACACAATAACCACACGAGCATCCTGGATCCTGGAATGCCCCATTTCTTGGTCTGGTGTGAGTCAGCTGGCTCCGTGAGAGCTTGGGACCAAAAAACGAATGTCCCTCTTTTGATCAGCGGGATGTTGGAGGGTCTGTAATCCAACAAAATAGCAGAGAAGGCAAGTAGCAAGAAGAAGTTTATCAGTTAGTTAGAGCGTGGTGCCGATAACGCCAAGGTTGCAGGTTCGATCCCTGTATATGACAGCTGCATATTTCTGCATTGTAAAGGGTTGTGTTAGATGATGTTCAGGGTTCCTTCCAAATCTACAATTCTGTGATTCAATGAAAACAATTAATAGATTTCAATTCATAATAACTTATACTTTTGCCATGGTACTTCTGAACTGCATGGAACCTGACTCCAAAACAACAAAAATGGATTTGCCACAGGCTGCCAAACGCATTCATTTTCAACACTGCGATGGGTGCAAACCTCATCCGCCACACACATATTATAGAGGACTTCTGAGTGCAAGCAGGGGTGCGCAATTTTGTGCGTGCAACTTTTCCTTCAGCACCTGCAAAACTGACTTTCTCCCTGCCAACACCCACCCCCCCAAAAAATCCCTGCCCCTCTCCCTTCTTGGCTTGGCCTTTCGAGAGATTTTGCCGATAAGAAGTCCCACACCGTGGAAATGGATGTTGTTCTTAAGAGATGTGTTTTGAATCGGTGCATGAGCCCTTGCGCACCATCCCACCCGCTGGTGTAATGAATGCGTCCAGCTGTTCCATATATTTAATGGCTCTGGCGGGACCCTATCAGGAAATATTGTGCTGGGAATTCTGGCTTAGGGTCTGGGAGCAGAGCCAGGCCAGATGGTCTTCCTTTTTTCCTCAGGCAGAAAGGCGTACCGAGGTAAGGGGTGCCACCTTCCCCTCTTAAAAACAACACACACACCCGAAATCTTTTCTGCACCCCCTTCCACTTCCTGCCACCCCCAAACAGGTACTTGGAGACCATCTTCCATCACCATCATGACTCCATCATGATGGAGAGCCAGTGTGGTGTAGTCGTTAAGAACGGTGGACTCATAATCTGGTGAATCGGGTTTGACTCCCTGCTCCTCCACATGCAGCTGCTGGGTGACCTTGGGCTAGTCACACTTCTCTGAAGTCTCTCAGCCTCACTCACCTCACAGAGTTTTGCCTGTGGTGGAGGAAGGGAAAGGAGACTGTGAGCTGCTTTGAGACTCCTTAAAAGGTAAAGGGACCCCTGACCATTAGGTCCAGTCGTGGCCGACTCTGGGGTTGCGGCACTCACCTCGCTTTACTGGCCAAGGGAGCTGGCGTACAGCTTCCAGGTCATGTGGCCAGCATGACAAAGCCGCTTCTGGTTAACCAGAGCAGCGCACGGAAATGCCGTTTATCTTCCCGCCGGAGCGGTACCTATTTATCTACTTGCACTTTGACATGCTTTCGAACTGCTAGGTTGGCAGGAGCAGGGACCGAGCAACGGGAACTCACCCCGTTGCAGGGATTCGAACCGCCAACCTTCCGATCAGCAAGTCCTAGGCTCTGTGGTTTAACCCACAGCGCCACCCGCATCCCTTAGGGACTCCTTCTTGTTGTTGTTTAGTTGTGTCTGACTCTTCGTGACCCCATGGACCAGAGCACGCCAGGCACTCCTTAGAGGAGTGATAAAGCGGGATATCAAGTCAAAACTCTTCTTCTTCTTCTTCTTCTTCCATCATCACCTTAGCGACCAGTGGTCCAAGCATGGCGACCCTTGGCTTAAAGCCATGATCAAATTATAAGGAGAGGGAGATGGGGAGGCTGTTCACTCTTACCTTTGGGGAGAGCTCCTTAGCTACCATACTTTTTAAAAAAGCAGTGTTTTCGTGCATTTCTTTTGCCCTGGAGTGCGCCACTTGGCACTAAACTGCCAGTCAATCTCATAAGAACATCGGGAGAGCCTTTAGCTGGATCAGGCCCATGGCCCACCTCGTCTTGCATCCTGTTCTCACAGCGGCCAACCAGATGCCCCAAAGTGAAACTTGTGAGCAGGATCTGAGCACAAGAGCAACTCTACCCTCCTGTGGTTTCCAGTAACTGGGATTCAGAATTTTTGTCGCCTCCAACTGTGGAGGCAGAACAGAGCCATCCTGGCTAGAAGACATCAACATCCAATCTTATTTTAAAGGCATCCAAGTTGATGGCCATCGCTGTTTCCTGTGGCAGGGAGTTCCGTAGTTTAACTCTGTGCTGTGTGCCGAAGGATTTTCCTTTACCTGTCCTGCTGGACGTTCACGATTTCTAGCGTTAGGAGGCACAGAGAGAAAACCTTTCTTCCTCCACATTCTTCATGTCAGGAATAATTTTATAAACGTCTGCCATGTCCCCTCTTATCTGTCTTTTCCCTAAACTAAAATCCCCTAAACCCTTTGGCCTTTCTCTGTAGGGGTTTGGCTGCATCGCCTTGATCATTTTCTGAACCTTTTCCAATTCTTTAAAATCAGATCCTGCCTGGAGTCCTGTGTCCAGTTCTGGACACCACAATTTAAGAAGGATGTTGACAAGCTGGAAGGTGTGAGAAAGAGGGCGACCAAGAGAATCAAGGACCTGTTGATGGCATTTTACCATTGTACTGTGGAGAGTGTATTAACTTATGGTCTGTGTGTGTGGTTTGGGAGCTGCACGGCCAGGGAAAAAACAATGCTGTCCAGGGTTGTAAAGACTGTGGAGAGAATAATTGGGTGCACTCTTCCCACCTTGGATCAAATCTATGCTTCCAGGTGCCATAAGAAAGCTGCAGAGATAGCGCAGGATAGTGCGCACCCCAGAAATGATCTCTTTCAGCTTCTGCCTTCTGGAAGAAGGTACAGGGTTATAAAGACTAGGACTAGCCACCTGAGAAACAGTTTCTACCCAAATGCGATTTTGGTCTTAAACGCATCATTAGGAGTCTGTATGGGAGTATATTATATTTAAAAATGGGGTATCAGAGTTTTTAGGGGGCTAACCAGGTTGGGATAGCTGGGATAGCAGGCTTGTTGGGTTTTGAATGTGTAGATTTTTCAATTTCGTTGTTCTGTATGGGACAATGACAATAAAGATTATTGTATCGTATCAATCTTGAAACCAAGCCTTATGAGGAATGGTTGAAGGAGCTGGGAATGTTTAGCCTGGGGAAGAGGAGACTGAGAGGAGATAGGAGAGCCATCCTCAAATATCTCAAGGGTTGTCACAGGGAAGATTGAATAAAATTAGGAGATGTCCAGTAGGACTTTGGAATTCTATTTTGGACCCTATACTTTTTCTCCTATAATTTTGAGACCGCTGAAAAGACTCCTCCTTGAAAGAGACTCAAGGTCTGGATGAATCCATTTGGTCAGATCCAGTAAGATACCTTTAAGTTTTCGCATGGGATCAGGCCATTCCTGACCCACCAAATCTGGCATATATGTGCAACGACTCTGTCTAAAGCGGCTCGTGAATCCCTGCCAACCACACAAACGCTCAGGCTTAGAAAACATATGTTTTTAATTGGCCGAATGGTTAAAAGGGGACAGCTTGGCTGGGAGTGAAAGAAAATTTGATCTGGCCTTGTTTATTGGGACTTGGTGGTCACCTATCAAGTCGCTGGTTGGCAGGAGGCCACGGAGGAGGGGGCGGGGCGGGGAGGAGCCACGGGCTAAACCATCGCAACTCTGCTAGGGCCACCAAAATGCTGGAGAGGGAACCCTTTGACCGGATGCCAGGAAGCTGGAGAACTGGTGCCAGTTTCCATGCCTAGTCTGGGCTCGATGCAAAGTCACTTGGCTATGCCACCCAGAACTGGGAAACGTTTGCCAGCAGGTTAGAGAAAGGGGGTGAGGGGGTGGGCATCCCATTTATAGGGAGGAAAGAATCCAGAGAGCGAAGGAACATCTGGAGGCAACAGCTGGAAAACGTGGAGGCTGGTCCATGAGGGCGAAGGTGGCACTGGCCCACTGGCCTCACTCCGCCCGCCATCTCACAACCAGTCCAGGAAGTGGCAGCACCTGTCAGCTTCCTGTGCCCCCCGGAGTCTCAGTGTTGCCCTTCTAGGACTGTGCTGCTCCCAGGGGGAGATTACCGTGGGCGAAGTCCAGGACCTGAGTCGAGGGTCGGCAGACAGTCCTCCACGGGCGAAGCGGGGTCCACAGCGAGGAGCCAGGCAAGAACAGGAACTCTGGGGGAACAGGACTGGGTGCTGGCCGAAACAGCTCTTCAATGACGTTGCTCCCACAACCTGGGACCGGGCTGACTGGCCTTTATCTTCTCTGAGGCCAGGGGCGGTCCCGGCCCCCAGGAGACCCACCTCTCCTGGCCTTAAGGTGAGCACTCCTCCTGGGAGAAACCAGTTCCCTCCACCTCTCTGCCCTGAGCCTCTGCAGCTCCGGAGAGGCTGGAGGGTTACTGGACCCAGGGGGAGACTCACCTTCCCCTGAAAGGGCTGGGAGAGGCACACCTGTAGGCACTGTGTCCTCAACCCCCTCTGGAGCCAGAGTGGATTCACGTGGTGCCTGCTCCTGAGGATCCGGCACAGGTGCAGGCGCTTCAGAATCAAGGCCCTGCCCCAGTTCAGCCGGCCCTGGAGGCGGGGACTCCTGTGCAGGCTAGGATTCCTCCGGTTCAGCCTCTGAATCAGATTCCCAGGCCATCACAAGGACTCAGCAGGGAGGAGGGCAGGGGAAAACCTGTTAGAATTCCTGCTCCATGATTGCAGTCATGGGATTGTTGTCTATCACATGATGGTATTTGTTTTGACTCCACGGAGTGGGAAGTGACGGAGACAGGATGTTTGTGTTACTGTGTTCCGTGAAGTGGGACTATTGTCCTTTGTTCTTTTTCTCTTTGCTGTCTGATGCCAGAGAGAGAGGGAGCCATGTTGCAGTGCTCCATGTGGGTTTATATGTAAATAAAGTAAAGGTAAAGGTAAAGGGACCCCTGACCGTTAGGTCCAGTCGTGGCCGACTCTGGGGTTGTGACGCTCATCTCACTTTACTGGCCCAGGGAGCCGGCGTACAGCTTCTGGGTTGTGTGGCCAGCATGACTAAGCCATTTCTGGTGAACCAGACCAGCGCATGGAAACACCGTTTACCTTCCCGCCGGAGCGGTACCTATTGATCTACTTGCACTTTGACGTGCTTTCGAACTGCTAGGTTGGCAGGAGCAGGGACCGAGCAACAGGAGCTCACTCCGTTGTGGGGATTCGAACCGCCGACCTTCTGATCGGCAAGTCCTAGGCT